TGTGCTTCTTGGCCACTTTTTTAATGTTTATTTATTTTAGAGAGAGAGAAAGAGTGCAACCAGGGTAGATGCAGAGAGAGGGGGACAGAGGATCCGAAGCGGGTTCTGGGCTGACAGCAGAGAGCCCAACACGGGACTTGAACTCACAAACTGTGAGATCATGACCTGAGCTGAAGTCAGATGCTCAACTGACTGAGCCCCCCAGGTGCCCCAAATTATTGGCCACTTTTATGTCTTCTTTGGAGAAACATGTATTCGGATCCTTTGTCCATTTAAGAATTGTCTTTTTGTTATTTTTAAGAGTTCTCTATATGTTCTGGATGCAAATGCATTATGAGATATGTGATTAACAAATATTTTTCCCAATTCTGTGAGTAGTCTTTTCAGTGCCTTGGTGGTGTTTTTTGGAGCACGAAAGTTTTTAATTCCGATGAAGTCACAGAGTTCATTCCCACTGCTGGGTGTGAGCTTAGGTTCTAGAGGGCAGCTGTGGGAGCAGGAGAGCAGGCATTAGAAGAATGTCGCAGAGGCCCAGGTGAGACACGTGATGGCTTCCTCCTGGGCATGGCCGCAGCTGGTGAGAAGGGGCCAGGTGTGAGGTAGGTTAGGCAATAGAGTTGATGGAACGAGGTGAGGGGTTGCTCTGGGGGTGAAGGAGAGGGAGAAGTCAGGCACGAATGCTAGGATTTCAGCCCCAAAAATTGATTCAAAATTTGATTATACTGCCCATTATCTGCCACAGAATTGTGATAATTTTTAATCTGTGCTGGGGCATGCAAGTGAAGGGATCCTTACACATTTTTGAAGTTGATAGTGTTATCGTTGATTGCGCCAAAGAGATGATTCCAGGGACTCTGTCCTTCCACGAATACCTCCTAAGCCACCGCAAGTAAACGTATAATCCAAGTTAGAATAGTGTACCTGCCCTGCAGATGAGTTTCGAGGCAAATCCTCCGGCCCCTTCTAACCAGGCCGCAGTCTCAGATCCCTTCGTATGGAGATTATGGAGCTGACAAGTGAATGGTATCAGATCAAGGGAATGAATTTTTAAATTTGACAGAGCTGCTTTGAGGAAAATGGCTTTGAAAGGAGGAAATGGTACTAGCTGACGTTTGTGAAGTGCTTAGTCCTTCCACTTGCTTCCGAGGAGGTCTCGTCCGCTAAAGCAGAAATTAGAACATTTTGGTTCGGAAAATTTTGGTTTATGCATGTAGTGTGTTCGCTGCAGCTTTTCTGTACAGATTAAAAATCATGTTCTGGCGGAATATTTAATGAAATGGCAAATGCTTCTGGTTTATAAAGTGAAAAACTGTGTGTGTCTGCACATGTGTGTCTGTCACTACCTGTAGATATAGCATGTCTCTGTACGATGGGATTATTATTTTTTTTTAATGTTTTATTATTTATTTTTGAGAGAGAGAGAGAGAGAGCGTGAGCGGGGCAGGGGCAGAGAGAGAGGGACACACAGAATCCCAAGCAGGTTCCAGGCTCTGAGCTGTCAGCACGGACTCCCCGACGCGGGACTCAACTCACCAGCCGTGAGATCATGACCTGAGCCAAAGTCGGACACTCAACCGACTGAGCCACCTGGGCACCCCTGTACAATGGGATTATTAATGCCATTTATTTAGTTCTTTGTAATTTTCCATACTTCAAAAATTTTACAGTTTGTTTTGAGAGAAGGGGGGAGGGGCAGAGAGGGAGACAGAGAATCCCCAGCAGGTTCTGCGCTGTCAGCGCAGAGCCCGATGTGGGGCTCGAACCCATGAACCATGAGATCATGACATGAGCTGAAACGAAGAGTTGGACACTTAACCGACTGAGCCACCCAGGCGCCCCTCAATTTTTTTTGTTAATTTGAGATAGAGTGTGCGTGCCTTCGAGCTGGGGGTGGGGAGATGAGAGGGACAGAGAGAGAGAAGGAGAGAGAAGAAGAATCTTAAGTAGGCTCCACCTTCAGCACAGAGCCCAACGTGGGGCTCAATCCCACCACGGTGGGATCCTGACCTGAGCCAAAATCAAGAGTTGGACACTGAACTGAGTGAGCCACTTAGGCACCCTTCAATTTTTTGATGGTGAACATTTATAACTGTTTAAACAAAATTTCATTTTAAAAACTTGGTATATAAATTATGGCTTCTCAGTGTGTTCGCATGTACACGCCCATCAAGGAAACAAAGCCTTTAACTGCTCCTATGCTGCCTTAGGCTTGAAGATGGAAAGATTGTTGAAATAGCAACAGTGTCCTCATCTGTACAATGGGGATAACAGTGGTCCTGATTTGGCGAGGATTTAATGGGTTAGTGTGCTAAGGATAGTTTCTATGAAGTAATAGCATTAGTGATTAGTGCTATTGCTATTGTCATTCTTTGCATTTTGGATTATTGTCCCATGTCCTTAAGCGATCTACCTCCTTTCCCGTGGTATCTGTCAGCAACTGTTTTCACTTGAGTGCATGAGGCCATTTCATTTTCATTTGATTCCTGCATCATCTGAGTCTCGCCCACCTTTCTGGAGTACTTGCATAAATCAAGGAATAGTCTTGCCCTTGCCTAGTTACAGGTTTATGAACCGTGCTGCTGTATGGACGGCACAGCATTCACCATCCAGATGCCTGTTGCGTCAGCCATTTAAAACTATGTGTGTGCTCACTTCAGTGGCACATGCGCTGAAGCTATGTGAGCTTGGGCACGTTTCGGAACCTCCCAGAGCTTCAACCTCTGTTACAAAGGGATGTATCAGTCAATTTTCTTTCTTTTTTTTTAAGATTAAAAAAGAAATTTAGAGAGGGACAGAGCACGCACGAGAGGGGGAGAGGGACAGAGAGAGAGAGAGAGAGAGAGAGATTTTTTTTTTTAATGTTTGTTTATTTTGAGAGAGAGAGAGGGAAACAATCCCAAGCAGGCTTCACTCTGTCGGCACAGAGCCCAACTCGGGGCTCGAACCCACGAACCGTGAGATCATGACCTGAGCCAAAATCAAGAGTCAGATGCTTAGCTGGCTGAGCCACCCAGGTGCCCAGAGAGAGAGAGAGAGAGAGAGAGAGAGAGAGAGAGAGAGAGAATATCTCGAGCAGGCTCCATGCTCAGCGCAGAGTCCAACATGGGGCTCGATCCCATAACCCTGGGATCATGACCTGAGCCGAAGTCAAGAGTCAGCTGCTCAACCAACTGAGCCACCCAGGGGCCCCAGTCAATTTTCTTAACCATCACAGAGGGATGTGATTCTTATCATTACCATTAGAGGAGCTCTCACAAATTACACTGCTTGCTTCTTCGTATTGAGTATTGTGATTATCAAATGAAACAGGAATCTGAAAATGCTTGGATCACTGGGTATGCCATAGAGATCCAGGGGGGTATTATCCCTGCAGTGAGTTGAGGCAAGATTGGAGAAAAGGAGATTATTTTGTTGGTCTTCCACTCTTGTCACTCCTTCCTTCCTTGCAGATTTTCCTCGTACACAACTCATTCATCCATTCAGTAAATACTTACTGAGTGCCTCTGATATGCCTGATCCTTTTCGAGGTGCTGGGGGCTACAGAGGTGAGTGAGGCAGATGTGGCCCTGCTCTTGTGGGCCTTACAGACCAGTGATGGTAGAGGGGGTCAGGCAGAGACGGCCAGTCAAAAGAGAAGGCAGAAGAAGTGTGAGCAAGTAAAGCAGAGAGAGGGGACCAGAGAGGGCTTGGTGGTGGTGGTAGGAAGCACACTGTAGGGGGTGGTCAGGTGGGACCTCGTGGATAAGGGGACATTTTAGCAGACACCCATATGCTGAGAAGAACAAAATCTGAGTGACACCTGGAGAAAGAGCATTCCGGGTGGGAGGGACAGCCCAGTGTTGGGGCCCCTGGGTGAGAATGAGTTGGGTGTGAGTTTCGTTATAAGAGAACTTGAAGTTGGTCAGTCAGCTTTATAGAAATCAAAAGGCCAGAGTTCAGCAGACCGCAAATCCGGCATCCTAACAAGTTCTTACTAGAGGGACTTAAAGTCTCCGTAGAACTGAAGGACTAGAATATACCCCTCCAGCTCTAATCAGGATCGGGCACCGCCTGTAGCTGCTGCTTGTCTGTCAGAGCTGTGATGGCGCGATTGGAAAGACTCAGGACCTGGAGCGAGAAGACCTGGACTCGGGTCTCGGCTTTGTGGTCACGGGCAAGTCTTGTGACCCTTGGGTCCTCAGGCCCTTCTCAAAGTTGGAGGTGACGCCACTGATCTCACAGGTGGGACAAGGAGTAAATGAGGGGCTGAACCCTTCATAAATGACAACACACTGTGTAAGGACTGAGTCTCTTTGTTGCGGGAGGCTTTGAACTCAGAGTGCCAAGAGGTACGGGTGTCAGGGTGGAGCAGGTGCATCGCGGAGGCTCTGAGCATCGAGGGGGCTGCAGGCATCCAGCTGGGGGACGTGCTTCTCTGCTGTCTCGACACAGCGAGTGTATTTCCACACCAGGACTGGTTCGTTGTCCTCCTGGGACGATGGCTTTCCTCTTTCTCTTCATGTTCCGTCCGTCCTCACGAGCTTTGTACTTCAGGATGTTTCCAGTGAAGCCTTTCCCACTACTCTGTCCCTCTTATCAAGACCTACAGCTTCGCACCCAATCACATGTGGTTTTGTGCGTCTTCACTGTTTCTTTTGCCTGCCTGGCTAGATCATAAACTGCTCGAGAATAAGAACTGTTTCTAATATTCTTTCTGTTTCTCCGTAGTATTTATTAGCACAGTATAAATTATAGAGGCCAGTACATATTGACGTGCACGTTGAATTAAAGTGCTCGAAGTGATCTTAATGACCCCTGGTTTACTTTCTCCGTTGAAATAAGCCGCAGCTGTAATTTTTCCCCACCTGCAAGTTCCTCGCGCCCACCGTTAAACATGACTTCTCTTTGGCGTGACCAGACGTTGAAAGAATTACAACGCCTTGTTCTTTAGCCCCCAGGTTTCCCCAGATGCCAATCAAACATTCCTTTTCCTGCCTGAAGATCATCTGCGGAAACCTCGGCCATGGCATCAGTATCAGAACCGGTTACCTTCAGAGAGTTCTGCCCTTTGTACTATCTCCTCAATGCCATTCCCACAAAGGTCCAGAAGGGTTTCCGCTCCGTCGTGGTCTACCTCACAGCTCTCGACACCAATGGGGACTACATCGCGGTGGGCAGCAGCATCGGCATGCTCTATCTGTACTGCAGACACTTCAACCAGATGAAGAAGTACAACTTTGAGGTGAGTCTTGCTTTTCTTTACTCCTTAGTATGCAAGAGGCATGGCCGACGTTGGACACGCTCGTGTCTCCTAGGATGGGGTAATTGACTTCCGATTTGGCCTTAGTATCTCACCCAAACACTACTTGAAAACCATCTTTAATTGAAGTGGAATATAACTAAAGACGTTGGTTTGTTTTTGTTTTTACTTTTCTCCCCCTGCCTCTAGAAGTTTAGCACCACTTTAAAAGAGAACATTTTAGTGTTAATATGGAATAGAAAACTTTGGAAGTTGGTACTTTCTTCTACATATTTTTGTTTCTCAGGGTACCTTGACTGACTCGGTTAAATGATCTCTAGTTATTGTGCTGAAATTATTATGAAGAAAGGACTAGTATCAGTATTGGCTAGCTACCCAAACAGGTACATCTGAAATAAGATCTCTCCTTATAGAACATTGCTGTTAGAATCTCAGCCAACCTCTGTTCTGTGTTGGTTGACTTCAGGCATTGCACGTCTGTGTATTGTAGATGCTGGCAGGCACTAAATAAATATTGACACATCATCGTCAAATTCACCTACTTAGTCGATATCTGTGGTTTATTGAGTACGTGGCTTTTGTGAGAGACTCCCAAGGTGACTGAGTTATGGCTTCTCCCTCATGGCCTGGTGTGGCTCTACTATTCCTGTAGTTAGTGGGCTTTTATGGACGTCTTTAGACAAGACTTTTGTGTTTAGGAGTGCCTGGGTGGCTCAGTCAGTTGGGCGTCCAACTTCGGCTCAGGTCATGATGTTACATTTCATGGGTTCGAGTCCTGCGTCAGGCTCTGTGCTGACAGCTCAGAGCCTGGAGCCTGCTTCAGGTTCTGTGTCTCCCTCTCTCTCTGCCCCTTTCCCACTCATACTCTGTCTCTCTCTCTCTCTCAAAAGAAATAAACAGTAAAAAAAGAAAAAAGAAAACAAAATAATAGACCTGATTAAAACGTATCAATAATTATATTAAGTGGAAATGACCTGTACTTATCAATTAAAAGAAGTTACCGGAATGGAGGAAAAAATTATGAACCAACTATATATTGTTCATAAGAAACTCAATTAAAAATTAAAAGGATGGGGGCGCCTGGGTGGCTCAGTCTGTTAAGCGTCCGACTTCAGCTCAGGTCATGATCTTGTGGTCCATGAGTTCAAGCTCTGCGTTGGGCTCTGCACTGACAGCTCAGAGCCTGGAGCCTGCTTCAGATTCTGTGGCCCCCTCTCTCTCCGCCCCTCCCCTGCTTGTGCTCTGTCTCTCTCTCTGTTGTTCAGAAATGAATAAACATTAAACAAAATTAAAAGGATGGAGAAAGGTATGTCATGTAAATGCTAATTAAAAGAAAGTTGGAGTGGCGATGTGAATATCAAAGTGGTCTGAGCAAAGAAATAACTAAGGTTAAAGAGAGCCATTCCATTGGAAAAGACACAGCAGCCTTAAATGTGTGTACCTTAACAAGCAAACTCCACAATAGACGGAGCAAAAAGTCTCATAACTGAAAAACCAAGAAATCCACAATTCTAGTTGGAGACTTCAGCACTCGTCTCTCAAGGATATAGAAATATAGAAGAGCTGAGTGACACCATCAGCTGACATTGTCTCATTGACATTTACAGAACGTTCCACCCAACAGTAGATGAGGGTGTGTTCCTCGTAAGTAAACATGGAACATTCACTGAGACCATATTCTGGGTCATAAAACGTGTCTCAACAAGTTTAGAGTAGAGCAGACTTTGGTTCTCTGTTTCACTCTGTTTTCTCACTTTTTAGTTGAAGTGTACTTGACATAAAGCATACAAATTTCAAATGTACAACTTGGTGAATTAGCCTAGTTGTACAGCCGTGTGATCCCTAGATCAAGATGCAGAACGTCTTCAGCAGTCCAGTAGACTCCCAGCGCCGGCTGCCAGTCAGTACTCCTCTCGCGGGTGCCTGCTCTTCTGACCTCTAACACTGCAGGGTACATTTGCTAGCCCCTTAGGTTTTAATTCACTGCTAGGTCATCTTTGGCATTAAGGTGTAGGGTTGGAGCACGCGCACGTGTGTGTGTGTGTGTGTGTGTTCCAGAAAGTGTATTTGGATGGAAGTGGAACACAGGGCAAGGATATGAGCAGCGTGGGTTAAGGCCAGAAAGGCGGGTGGGGCCTCGCACATGAGACTGTAGGCTGGAACCTGCTTCTGGGGCAGGGTCAGCTCTGGGACCCTTGTGGGCTGTGTGGGCTAGGGGCCAAGTGTGAATTCAGACCCTTTACTCGGGTTGCATTTCAACCCAGTTCTCTGTTATAAAACACATGTGGCTTATTGATACCATTGTATTGTCCTTTTTAAAATATAATTATATGACTGTTTTTTAAAGTTCACCACCAAACTCACAAAAACTTAGAGAAAAGCGAGTGTAATGTTCCCCGAATGAAACTACAGTTACCCCTGACCGTCAGTTTTATAGTTTTACCTAGAATTAGCTTTCTCTTTATCCTATGATGAGCCCCATGAGCTCTGAAGGAAGGTGATGTCCTAGCACCAGGGGTGCCCAGAGTTTGGGAGAATCAAGTACAAATTCTTGGAACCAGCAGATGAAGAGGGGACTCCAGGAAAAGTCATATATTATATGTATACGTCCGCTGGCTTTCTCTGATGGAGGGATCAGAAAAAAATGTATTTTACTGGGGCCAAAATCCAAACTTGACAGCCCCAAGTATCCAAAACATTTTTCAAGCACCCATTTGGTATAGAATACAAACCCGTAATTGTGGAAAATCACAAAGGAAGTGCAAAATAAAAATTCCGTTTTGGAAAGAACACGGAATTTGGAATCAGAATACTGGGGTGGGAAAAGAAAGCTAAATCGTCTGTAAAACATACGGGAAAAGGTCTGCAGGAGCACTCCTGACTCTCCATCATGATTCTCTAAATCTCTGTGGGGCCTGAGAATGGGGTAGGCTAAGGGAGGGGGTGTGAAGAAGTATCTTTTTGTTTTCTTTAAATGCGGTGGAATCATTCGAATTTTTTGGTAACAAGAATGTTTTCCTATTTCCTTGTTTTGGGTTTTGTTTTTTTTTAATGTTTTTGAAGTTTGTTTTCGACAGAGAGACAGAGTGAGCGAGGGACGGGCAGAGAGAGGGGGAGAGAGAGAATCCCGGGTAGGCTGTGCGCTGTCAGCACGGAGCCCAATGTGGGGCTCTACCTCACAAACTGTGAGAGCACGACCTGAGCCAAAATCAAGAGTTGGACGCTCAACTGACCGAGCCACCCAGGCGCCCCCGTATTTACTTGCATCAACACAACAACACAAAGCTCTGTTTTGAGTGTTGGCTGTCGGTTATTAGCTACGTGATCCTAGAGATGGATTAACTGTTTTGTTGTTCTGGTCATTTTTGTCCTCAGAGCTGGCTAGGTCTTAGAATAATTTGGCACGATTCCCATGTTTTTCAAATAAAGAAATGGTAAGATTCCCGCTCCACGCCACACAGCTGGTTGCCTGACCATTATGCTCGCTTCCTATGGGAGAAGACAGGGCCTCCACAAAAGTCTAGATTTGGAAGACAGTGGAAACCAGATTCAGAGTCTCTGGAATTTCCAAGTGAAAATTGAGAGACGCATCAACTAGTTTCATTTAGGGGAAATCTAAGATTTTATAGGAAGGTAAATAAAAATAAAAGTTAGTCTACCCTCTCATGAACCCATGTATGGCATGGATGAAAGATGATGTTTTTAAATGAAGTTCTGTTTCTAAAGAAGGAAAGCAGACCTTATATGTGCTAAATACAGCCTGTCGTGTGTTTTCAAGAATAATACTTTTGGAAACCTTTTTTCCTACACGAGTTAGTGGGAGAGGGCAGATGGAGACACAAGAAGTTCTTCTAGCTTGTGCCAAAAGCACAAGAAACTGTGAGGAGCTAATAACGAGTATAAAAATGTTATAAACTTGTTAAATATATGGGTGTGAAATACGTAAGAACAGACCGGAACGATAAGTTGACCTGAGCTTCTGATTTTCTCTTTGGAAAGTAATTGTATAACCTCTCTTCTTAGCATTCGGTGAATGGCGGAGATTCCACGGATTCGCCTCCAGAGCAGTCTCTGCACTACCTGGTTCTCACTTCTGCAGCTTGTCTGCACTTGGGTCTCCAGGAGTTCATTCAATAAGTACCCAGTGCGGGGACACCTGGGTGGCTCCGTCGGTTGAGTGTCCCACTGCCCAGTCATGATCTCTAGTGTGAGTTCGAAGTTCTGTGAGACCGTGGCTCTGTGCTGACAGTCAAAATGGAGCCTGGAGCCTGTCTCCCTCTCCTCTCTCTGTCTGAATCGCCTCCCCCCAACACACACACTCTGTTTCTTTCTCCTTCAAAAATAAATAAACATTAAAAAAGAAAAAAGTACCCAGTGCTCACCGTGTGCTAGGCCCGCTTGAGGTCCTGGAGAGGCACAGAACAGGGCAGGCAAGGCCCCTGCCCTCAGGGGACTCGGAGTCTAGTGGGGAGCCAGAGCCGCCAACACACAGACGAACAAGAAGGGGGTCTGAGGGGAGAATAAAGCAGAGGAGGGGGTGAGGAGCTGCAGCGCGGGGCGTTGCAATTTTAAATAGGAAGTTCAGGGAAGGGCTCGCTGAGCAGTGACAGCTGAATGGAGACCCAAAGACAGCGAGCAGCATGATGGACGTGCTGTTACAGCGGGGGCAGAATATTCCCAGTGGAAGGAAGGAGAGGCCTGAGCATGGGAACATGTCTGTGATGTTTTCCAGTCAGGAACCTCATGCTTCAGAATGTTATGAATGTTTCCTTGACTTTTACCAAGTGTGTGTGTGTGTGTGTGTGTGTGTATTTTTTTTAAGTTTACTCATTTATTTCAACAGAGAGAGTGCATGCATGTGAGAGAAAACAGGGTAGGGGCAGAAGGAGAAGGAGAGAGGATCTTAGGCAGACTCCATGCCCCGCACAGAGCCCGACTTGGGACTCGATCCCACAGACCTTGAGATCATGATCTGAGCTGAA